GTGACTGCACGTGGAGAAAAATATACAATTTATAAAAATGTAAACAGCTAATTGATTACATTTTTAATCTGTGAAATATTTTATAATTTAATATAAGAAACTAAAACTGTGTAATGTGTGATAACCGTTTTAAATACATTTTTACGCTTACTCTTTACAATTTTTCTGCTGCAACACTGACGTTCGAGTTCGAGTCAACATTAGTAAAAGGATTGAATAATCATTTATTTTGTTCATAGACTTAATAAAGCCTTGTTTAAATATTTATTTTAAAATATTCATAGAGAATTATATATTTCAATAGAATGTCATAAATATATCGATTTTAATGATTTTTAGGACAGAAAAATACCTGTAGAATCTATAAAATGTATAAAATATATAGGTATATATGTAATATATTGTAAATTAGCATTTAAAAATATGCCAGATTTCCATAATTATATATGTAAAAATTAAAATGAGGTAACTCTTGATTGACAAGTTTATACTGCATATTTATAGATGATCTATTCACGTTTTCTGATATAATAAATTATATCTCAGCGACAATTGCACATCATTACAGATTCTTTTTAATCCATACTAATATTCAAAATTTGATAGTAAATCTATCTGTAACCTTTTTACGCTTAAACCACTGAACAGATGTTGACATAAATTTCACCCTGGTAATGGACAAATTCTTTGATCCTCGACCCACATACCACGCGAGTGAAGCTGCGGTTAAAAGATAGCTTATTAAATAAAATAGATATGTCTACTCGGTAGCTTCGGCGATTTGCCATCTACATGGAGCTATTAGGAACAAGTATTTTTGAAATATTATAAAATATATGAATGTATTTTATTTATTAAATTATGTTATAAAATCCTTTGGGCACCATTAATATGCTTGAGCTTAGACGCGGGTCGGTCGTAAAATTGTCCACGTGTGTCGTTTCACCTCAATCTGTTTACTGCTAAATATAAATGATTGTGCCTAATTCCACATATGCTTAGGTATAATTCGATTATTTATTTAACTTCTTCAAATTTTATGTTCTTTTTCAACTTTTTTGCATATTTTATTCAAAGTATGGCACTTGCTTTTTATTCCTATCCAATACAATTAATAACTTAGTATAATATTTTAGTAGGTACCAGAGTTTTATCGTTACCTAAGTTTTTTTGTTGATTTCGTATGTTTTTTTTATTGTGGGGCATATTATGTGGTATAACTGTATCTATTTTTATGACATTATTAAACATCCTGTAGGATAACGTAATAGAAAAATATTTTCGGCGTTTAGGTATATTTACTCGTAAGTCGTAACTCATAAAAGAAAACATTTTTTTGTAAAAAACATACATCGACTTCAAATTCACTTTAAAATATTTATTCGCTATACCTACTTATTCACTATTTATTTATATAGGGGCGACCTTTGAGGTACGTACCTATTTATTAAAAAAAGTATTATAAAAATCTATTCACTTTTGGCCAATATTTCATGTGTTACGTGAAATATACCTACTCATAATCGTAAAAATTAAAAATACAAATTAATTAAATATGTTTTGAAATTAAATTAAAGTTAAAAATACATATTTTAAATCAAGAGCTACGTCACTTACAACACTAATTTTCTTTAAATTAATATTAATAAAAATATAATAGAATAAAGTAAATGGCGGTTTGATTTGTCTCTAATCGTTAAAACGTAATCAAATGCCCCCAAATTCGAATTTACTAGTAAGAACGGAATACTTCAAGGCAAGGTCCTTTATCCAAGTTACATATACTTAGATACCAAATGGATAAAATAATAAGAATTAAGTTGAAATCGATTCACAATATTTGATTGCTTAGTTTAAGATAGTTGTTAAACTAGCAAAAGCGAGTTAAAATAATGTAACAATAAAGTTACTACTTTAATATTATTTTAATTCAATTAAAATCAAGATTTATATTCTTATATAATAAAAATACAGTAAAATGAAATAAAAATCTTAATAAGATAACCTCTCCACAGTACATGTATTTCCCATGTTTAATGGTAGTTATCTATACATAAAATAAAATTGTAACTAAGCCGAATCTGTACATTAAATATTTTTTGGAAACTCTTATTGAAATAGACATCATTATCGATACAGAGACCGAATCTTTAGTATTTAGAATTTTTGTCTGTCTGTCTTTCTGTCTGTCTGTTACCGCATCACGGAAAAGCCACTGGAAGTATTTTGATGAAATTTGGTATAATGATAACTCATTATCCGGGTCAACATATAGAATACTTTTTACTGCCGCAAGATATATCATCTCTGATAATTTAAACTAACCCTTAAAACCTTCCAAGGGACAAGAGGGTGAGTCGCTAGTAATAGGTATATACAATTATTTGTATATAAACTTTGCTAATATAGTTTTGACATTTTTGAAAAAAAAAATCGAGACAATGATGTCCTTCACCCCTGTCACTCTGTGGTAATTGGTAAAGAACTGATTAATCTCTGAATTCTGATTTATAGCTAATAGAAAATATAAATAGAAAAAAAAGAATAATAATATTCAGTAGATTAAATTATAAGATGAAGTAATGTAAAATAATAAGTTCCATATGAATAAAATATCCAAATTTAGATTCCAATGAATTATAATAATTTGTATATTCATAAAGTGACAACGCCATGTTAATGCATATGCCGCCATCATTATTAAGACAAAGGAGGTTTTACAGCACCTTCTAGTTGTATCCTCAGACTAAAAGCCTAAATGTCTGAGGGCGTAGCTTATATAATTATGTACTCTCATATGCAAATATCTGAGTTAGCAAAGGAAGAGCAAATGCCTAAGAGCAAGATATATTGGGAAATAAAATAGAAATAATTATTAACATTCGTATAAACGAATAAATTTATTTCAAACTATTTTCTTCTACTACATTTACCTACTACTATTATATTTTATTAGGTAATCGCGTTCGGACGACTGAAAGCCAAATTTTTAGGTTTTACATATTAATATTTGCCAGTTTCATTACGCACTGCAAGATTGGAAAAAAATGGAAAAATGGAAATTGGAAAAAAAATATAGTATGTCTTTACTTCTACGCTACAAAATTAAAGAGGAAAAATTTATTTGTTCTTACTGCGAAACAATTTTAATTCTATTAAAATCACGTTTTTTTTAAAACATGGCGACATCTTGTGACCGAAATCTGTCCAGTTGTTTTTCCGTGATGCGGTTACAGACAGATAGACAAAAATTTAAAAAATACCGAAGATTTAGCCTCTGCGTCGATAACATTAGATATTTCAATAATAATTTCCAAAAAATATTTAATGTAGAGTTTCGACTCAATTAGAATTTTATTTTATGTATAGATTATAATTATTATTAATTTGCTACTTATTTTTAAGCCAAATAGTTTTTTTTTTGTTATTTTGATATGGGCCGGACCTCGACTATAGCTAGGAATTTAAAAACGATCGTAGAGAAGTCATAGTTATGACATAAAGTACAGTTGTACTTTACTTTTTTTGAATTAAAATTACGTATTTTAAAAACACATGGCGACATCTAGTGATGGTTTTCTAAATTACATCTAACTATATATTTTTCGAGTTATGTTTATGTATCAAACATCCCTATTGATATAATTTTTTCAAGAGATGCTATTTATTAGTATTTATTAAACTATTTTGTAAGTATCTTGCAGATTTTTGTATAGTTTCAACGTGGTTTTATTCTAACCAGGTTTATAATTCTCAGACTAAAATTCTAAAAACCATAGATTCGACCTTTATATCGATAATGACTTATCAATAAGATTTTCCAAAAAAATAATTAAACGTACAGATTCGGCTCAGTTAGAATATTATTACACGTATAGATCATTTTGTTCGGGAATCGATTTCTATTATTTAATAAAGCAAGCTAATCTATACTATAATAAAACGGTAGAGGTCGAATGTCTGTACATAGCAAAAAAATGCTAAAAACCGAGTCAGGGGGATGTAAGAAGACAAATAGAACAAATCCAGTTTTTTTTTTTAATTTTTTGTTTCTCTGTTTGTCTGTTTGTATGGGCTAATCTCCAAAACTGTTGGATCGATTTAAATGAAATTTTGCATGGTGGTACCTTACATCCCCGGTCAACATCTTAGATACTTTTCATCCCAGAAAATGAAAGAGTTCCCCCGTGGGATAGTTAAAAAACTATAGTATCTTATACAGCTTAGTACACAACAGCTTATGCTTGGATTTTAGTAAAACTTTACATTCTGATACCTTATATTGCCGGTCAAATAACAGGTTACTTTTCGTCCCGGAAAATTAAAGGGTTCCCGTGGGAACTAGTAGATCTCTATTAGTATTTTTCTAGAGGCGAACCCGAGCGAAGCGAGGGTGAGCCGCTAGTATAAAATATTTTCTTAAATACCTACATATTACGTATTTATTCTACCTACATATTTATTCTTATTTGTATAATATAATTATAAAAAACGCATATAATTCGCTATATCATTCATATTGAATTATTCAACAGGAAAGTTAGTATAGTACTTGTTTATTATTATGAAACATAATGTGACCATTAAAATATGAGACCTTTTTACTTGACAGTAATTACTTTATTTAACAGAAAGAGCAATTTTTTCTTTATATTTTTTAATAAAAAAAACATAAATATCTCTAATGATGCTATTACGATATTATACTATTAATCATTATTACCTTATAAATAAAAAAGACACAGGATAAATTACATAAAGTGTTAAAAAAAATAGGTAGCTATATTTTGAAAGTACCTACATGATACCGGCTTAGATAAGATATTTTCTACAATCTCTCACGAAATTTTTAAAATTGTGTTGAAATTATAAATTAAAGCGTTATTTTAGATAAAATTAGCTAATATTATGCTAATTTTAAATAAAGTAAACGATCTGTATGGCAAAAAATAAAATCACGCCATTTTATATTATTGTTTAAATTTATTTTTTGTTAACAGGTATGGTTCCAAAATCGTCGTGCAAAGTGGCGTAAAAAAGAACATACAAAGAAGGGCCCTGGCCGGCCAGCTCACAACGCTCACCCACAGTCCTGCTCCGGCGAGCCCATCCCTCCGCACGAGCTGAGAGCACGCGAGAGGTGAGCAGATTACAGGCCAAACCGATAACGGTTTATAAAAATTAAAAAAAACTAGTTTTTAGTCTAAACTCTCTACATCTTAAAAATTCAAAATTTAATAAAAACTTATCTGTTATAAATAAACAACTAAAATTAATGATCAAGCTATTAACATCTCAAATGTGGGTTTAGTATATTAATCTAAAAATTAAATATTATATTAATAATAATCGGTTAGTTTTATCGATGATGCTACACTATCGTTTAATTTATCTTTATTATAGTATTTTAAATAAAACTATCTTTTCAGATTATTTCGCGGATTTATTTTGAGAGAGAGAGAGACTGAGACGTCTATAACCTTAGTCTCTCTCGTGACCATGAATGCTGTAAAGCATTCGGAACGTCGGTAACCAAAAATCAATATAAATCTGCTGAAAAGATAGTTTTATTTAAAATATCAAGTATTCGTGTAAATCTAACAAAGTATTATTTATTGTAGTACTTTATTAGAGTTGCGCAATATCTCCTTACTATTAGGTTCTATACTAATTAGGCCCTACAATTTCCAACAGGGCGAGAAGAAGAAAGAAGTTGGCAAAAGCATTAGAAAGACAAGCAAGAAAGCTGCGTGCGAAAGGCATTGCAGTGGACCTGGAAGCTCTGAAAGCTGAGTACTTAGCACAGCATAGGAATAGTGGACTATACTCCGATTCTGATGGAGAAATAGATGGAGAAGAATGTATGATAGATGTGGTCGGCGGAGACTCTTGCCACGATTCTGGACCTGAAGATTTTTCACTGTCAGGAAGGCTGCGTGCACCTTCTGGAACAGATGCAATAAATAATTCTGATAGTTCCACGTCAGATGGTCACTCTGCTAGAAACTTTAGTCCACTCCCCGATCCTCAGTCGTCTTTTTTCAAGCAGTTCAGCACAGCAGCGGGGAGCTTTGACAAATTCGACTTCGACTCAGGAAGGGCAGTCTCTTTAGACCTAAGCGGCAGTTCAAACACCGAACAGGACCTATCCAAAAACGGGGGAACAAGAAAACATAACCCATTCAGTATAGAATCACTCCTTAACACGTGAAAGTGACTTTCTTAGGTTTAGATTTTCCTAGAGGCTCCTGGATCTAATTTTCCTTACAGAATCGAATACCGACCGGCATTTTGAAATGTTCCTTTGCTTTAATAATAATGGATTATTATCATTAGTTATAATCAGCTTCGGTTATAAGACTTAATAGGTACCAGATAACATATCCCTTTGTGAATATTAGGTAGGACTGTATTATATAGTTAGTCGTGTACATAATTGTGTATTTATTTTCGTCTTGTTAATATATGGGGCAATAATATAAAATTTAAAAAATTGTTGATCTTTTTACTTACTTTTATTTCGTGATTTGTATATTATTGTTGGACGAATTACTTGACAGACTGCTTTGCGTACAAGTAACGTTGTGGCGTTAAATGTATTTATTCAGTTTAATAAATATTAATAGTATGATTTCTCAATTATTTTATATTCGAAAAACAATTCATTAAATCTATTTTATTTAAATATAGATAAAAATATATGTATGAAATAAGGGTTTTTTTTTATATTTCAAGTAATGTACAGACCGCGTTTCCAAAATTATAGTTTTATAACATATCTTCTAACTTTATCTAGATCTCGAAATACTTCAGTAATAAATTTAATATATCGAGTGAGTGTTGTACTTAATTTGTTTATATTTTTAGATTTTATATATCGTTTTAAAAAGGTGTACATTTAATTTTTATTTCAAAGATTTCAATAAACAATTCTTTAACCGTTCGTTATGTAAACGATATATCATTTTCGCAATTTCAGTTATAGCAATATTAGTGAAGGATTTTTTATAAATAAGCAACATTAATGGTAGATAAAACTACTTCCAGTTAAATAAATCTCGTTTACCACACAACTATTTACGCTTAAAATAGGCAAAGTTTATTCTAAAAACTAAGTAGCAGTCCACCGCAAGCAGCGAGCAATTAAGCTAATTGTCGCTATTACAATATAATTTCTTACACGCCCCGCTTTACCACTTTACCAACTCCATAAATTGTCGTTTTATTACATTAAATAATGTTTTTGCTACTGTACTCTTTATCTTGTCGACAAACACCTGCTGGTGTCCAAGTAAAATAAATTCCACACAATTAAACAGGTTCTGCGAATTAAATTGTATATCAATTTTTAGTCTTATACGTAATCGATACATATAAATTTTAAATCAATTTATTTTAATGATCGATACCGAATATGATTTTAAAAAAGATTTATTGCCATAACAAAAATATGTCAGCTGACGTCATTTTAATTTAGTTAGCATTTATATATGATTAAATTATATAGAAATGGCCATTTATAACGATCGTAGCAAAGAAAACAGTGAAGTCGTAAAAGGGTAATTAATGTATAACGCGATACCTCCGATAAGGACGCCAATTAGTGCAACAATATGGCTGACTGCTTTATTGCGATTTTTACTCTCAACACTTAATCTCATATACCTACTTCACTAGCTGCTTCATAATTTTATATACAAATATATTTTGGTTTTGTACCTATTCTCTATAGATTATTATAAAAGAAATATTTTTGTTTAGTTTAATTTTTATATATGTATATTTTAACCGAAAAACTAATATTACAGAAATGAATAATTAGAAAACTACAGAACATAGCAAAAATGCTTATACAAGTAAATTGATCAAGTTCGATGAAAAAGTTAAAGTTTTTTGATTAAAGCCCCAATTCGGGAATCGAAAAATTATAACAAAACGAATGGTATAAAATCTATCTATATTTTACATATAATAACAACACAGATAAAAAATATATTTAATTAAATAATAAAAATTGCAGCAAATGCATAAACGTGAACCCTAATTTCTTTATTTTGCTTAACTCAATTAGTGGATTTCTCATTATTCCAAGTCTTTTGTATAGCTTTGGATGCAGACCTTTTACCAAGATGTAATTTTAGCTTTGGGAAGTCAACCATTAAATTTTATGTTAACAATTCGACTCGCATATTTTTAACTTTTAAAAATATATTCCATGAAGGACAAGTATGATCCATATAATACGAATGTTACAAATTCTTGTTTTATTTTAAATTGAAATATATTTCATTATTCTGTATCGTAACCGACCTTGTTACTATAAACATTTCTTTTTGTGTCAAACAAGACACATTTACTATCCACGATATATTATTGTAAAGTACATCTGTTCGCTTAACGACACAGTTAGAGACTTACGAAGGCATGGAGTGTACTTGTGAAAAATGATTTTATATATTCCAAAAAGCTCTTCAAATTACAAAGTATTTGTTACGACTTTTGTTACATATTTCTTTCTTATTGAATTCGTGTCTATGGAATATATTATGCAATAAACTAAACAAAAAACATTTAATAGACAAATTAATAGCAGAAAACAAACATTGCTCATATATTTTACAAATTATATTTCTAGTTACATTGCATTGTAAGTATTTTTATTTTTTTTAATATTCACGCACACAGACTAGTCAAAATATGGCAAATCGTGCTATTTGATAAAAAAAATACGAAAGCATTATTTACTATTAAAAAAGATATTTTCCTTTTTAATAAATAATTTTATAAAACTTCTTAAATAGCGTGATAAATTGAAGCCTAATCTAAATAAAAATATGAAAGGAACATTCGAAACATTAATATATTACTTTAAATATTTAGAAAAGAGCGCTAATTTATGATCTATATAAATTTTGACTAGTGCGTGTCGAAAACCTATTTTTTATATTACGTAAAATAATGTAATAAGAAGTGTCTTTATATGCATTTTGGTAATGGATTATTCTATTAGAAATAGGCGTAGACCGCACTATTGTATATTTTGTAGGAGGATCAATATATTATGTACAAAATAATTAAGTTTATTTATATTTATCTCAATCCAATTTGTACAAAATTTAAAACAAATCAGCATCTTAAGAAATGTTAAGACGATTTTGAGATATTTTCCTTTTTTCATCAAATTATTTTTTTGTACAAATTGGCTTGAAAGCATAGAGACAAGATACGTGAATATTTGTAAATTTATCACATTGCGTAAGATGTAAAAAGTATGTTATGTGAGTAACTTATTGAATCAAAATATAACATTATCAAAACAAAACTATTTTTTATTAATCGCTTAAATTTTCAATAATTAATCAATTAAAGTTAAAATGTTGGATATTAAAATGAAAAGCTTTATTGAACCTTATATATCTAAAGGAGAATGTTAAAAATTACAATAATTGGTAATAATTGGCGAAAAAATAATGAATAATTAAATAAAAATATATGTTTATATTAACTTTATTCCTTTAAGTAAATAATCTATACTATTATTATAAACAGGTAAAGTTTGTGAATTGTGAGTTTGTGACGTTGTAGGGGGTAATCTCTGAATGTATAGAACCGATTTAGATGAAATTTGGTAAGAAGATAGTTTGAGACCCTGGGGAGGATATAGGATACTTTTTATCCTAGAACTCATCCCTTAAGGGGGTGAAAATGGGGATGAAAGTTTGTACGGGGAATCAACCTAGGGACGAACCCGAGCGAAGCGAGGGTGAGTCGCTAGTATATTTATATTTAATGATAAAAAAATAATAGAAAATACACAAGAATTGAGTATCTCTTCCTTCTTGGATTCAAAACTTAAGGTATGGATTTTACTAAGATCTGCCACAACTAGGACCTCTAGCTAAAAATACGATTATATCTAATCTTTAACTAAACGAACACAAATGTTACCTCATACAAAATAGTACCGGTCCTGTTTCACTATTATAAAGAAATGTCGTTGAAGGAACCTGAAATATGAAAAACTGTAAATTGTTATAAAGTTGATACATTATAGAGGATTTTTAATGAAGATTACATTCACTATTATACTTATATTAAAATAAGGGTTCAACCTTGCTTTAGCTCTACAGCAACGCTGACAGTCTGACGTTCTTCTTCCGCACACCTATACATATACCTATGTAATAAAATTCTGATTCGAATCTGTACATTAAAAATTTTTTTTGAAAGATCTTATTGGAATAGTCATTATTATAGATACAGAGGCCGGATCTATAGTTTTTAGAATTTTTGTCTGTCTGTCTACCTGGGAACGCAAAAACTACTGGACAGACTTTGATGAAATTTGGTATGATGATACCTGAGTATCCGGATATCCGGGTCAACATATAAGGGACAAAGCCGAGAGGAGCAAGGGTGAGTCAAGAGTCTGATTAATAAAATCAATATCTTAAATTCACTGACTCAACAACGTACAACCTATTCCGCTGGGTCTAGAATCATTAAATTCCGCTAAAGTGTGTCTTATACATATTACGAATATGAGCATTAAAAATAGATTTTTAAGAATTCTGGCGACTCATCCTCGCTTCGCTTTCGTCCCTAGACAAAAACAAAACTATCCCACGGGGATCGTACATTTTTTCCGGAATAAAAAGTATCCTATGCGCTATTCCAGACTATAATCTATCTGTGTACCAAATTCCATCCAGATTAGTTCAGCCTTTCTGGCGAAAAAGAGGAACAAACGTCCATCCATTCATTCTCAACAACTTTCACATTTATATGTATTAGTATGGATGAAAATTTGTATGGAGGTTTATTATTTTTAAATTTAAAAAAGGCTGCTTTTTATATTTTCTGAGGTAAGAACCTATCAAGTTCACTGCTTGTGAAGTATAAATTCCTACATTTTTACGTTTCTCATTTATCCATCGCTCCTTTAAGGTCAAAAAACTCCCATTTAAAATATTAATTAAGAATTAGTTCGCATTCATTTCCGCTATACTCACAATAGCTATAGCCACGTTTCCAAAATCAACTCAGAGCGTGACGAATGGCTATTTTTCGCTCAAATTATAAGTATAATTGCATAATTTAGTCATATTATACGCCTTACATTGACCACCGGGGAGAAAGGCCGCTTTGATACTCGATACCCGAGACGGCCACATTACGAATATGACGAAAAAGAATGACTAAAACTCT